CCTTTACTGGGATTTGAACTCCAGACCTCTCGCTTCCTATATAAGCGAGCGCGAAAACCCTTCAGCCACGGTGAATTTATATGTGAACGGCCTGAAGAAAACCATATTATTCTAAATCAGGGCTTGTAACGACTTTAACTGTTGTTTAACACAAATGTAAATAATCCTGGAGCTTACTATAAGCATGTATATTTATAAAGAATCAAAGGGCTGCAAGTTCTGTGGTATTTTCTGATCTTTGCAATCTAAATCGTACTGTATATCTGTATGTATTTTCCTGTGTAAGTTTATTTTTATGTATTATAATTCATTTTGCAAGGCACCAGAGTTTGATACATACGGAATTCTGCATAACTAGAGTTGCATCAAAATATCATTTATGTTCATTTTTCACGACAGCTACACTTTATCCTTGCATATCATGGCTACTTCCTTAACAAAGACACTTAAAAAAGAATTTAAAAAAAAAGTTTCCTCGACTGGAATTTGAACTCCAGACCTCTCACTCACTAAGCGAGCGCGTTACCCCTGCACCACGGAGAAGTTATACAAACAATGTCTGAATAACACTGGGTCATTCTTAATTTAGAACTACCATTGCATTTCGGGTTTGTAATCCTTATTAATTTCGAGGTATTTTGTTCAGGATAAACCTGTTGTTTAAAATTGAAGTGTCTAATTTAGCGAAAATCTTCTCGCCCAAACAGTCCGACATGTAAAATATATATATTCCACTACTCGGTAGGTGTAGTATTCGGTAATCGACATCGCTAAAAATAGTATTTTCATTGATAAAATCATATTCATCCGCGTAATTTGTGATTGTGCATTTATTGACAATTCTATAAGCCAACGCTATTTTTAAACTTTGAATGCGTTGCAATTTGTTGGATACTTGTAACAAAATAAAAATATTTCTATCTTTTATTAAATCGCTAGTTTTAAGCTGTTTTGAGAACTACTTGTTGTTAGGCTTGTCGTAAACTTCTGTGTCAGAGATTGAATGTCCGCTTTGTATTTACTTATTTTCGATCAGAAAATACAATAAAACAATATTAGAAATCTTCGACCATTCGGGAATTATTTTGCTTGAAAATTAACGTGCCTGTCTTTGACCATTCTTTACGCAGTGATCTCCCCTGAATTTTTCGACGTTAGTGTACATATAAAGGGAAGTAACCGCTTCAAAAAAGTGGACTACTTTCGGCATTTGCAATTATCAGCATTAGACTCTGAAATTTCGCTACCATTATTTGTTTGGTCTGACGACCCAAACAAATAAAAATGGTTTTCAAACAATTTTTACATATATGAAAAAAATACCGTATACCATCAAGTCTCAATAAAGTAAAGATTGCAGACTTCCAAATGTAAACACGATAACCCTTGTATAATAAAACCTTTATAAATCATATTAAATAAACCTTACCGTGACTTTTCCGGTGTAAATCAATAGAAAATATAATTATCTCCTAGATGCAATCAGAATAAACATTCATACATCTCTTTGTAATATGAAAATCAACATTTAATTAAAAACGAAAGTAAATTTTGCGTTCTGTCCAACCAATACGCGAAGAGTTCCCGGCTCTGCGCAGCCGGTACCCAAACGGTGTACATGCTTTCGACTAGATATCTACTCGAGCATTCTATCCTCATGTCCAAATTCAAATATTTAAATTGTACATTATATAGAATAAAAAAAAACTTGGGAAACAACACACTGTGCATCTTGGTAATAGTTTTATTACAAATAAATGTCTTTTAAACGAGCGCTTGCAGACAGCTAACACGCGGGACGTAAAAATAATTACTACTTTTTATTATTGTACCTTGATTATAGGATCACCAAAATGCATTATTTTTGTAATGCGTCATATTTTTCATAATAGAAATAAGGTAGTGATTTCTAAAGTTTCATTTTTATCAGTATATCAAAAAAATCTAACACTCGGGGTCATTCAAGCTCATTCAACGATTTTTCAGTTAATAAATATATACCACAACAAATCTTTAGATGATAAGCTTTTCACTTACATATCAAAAATATTTGATAAAGTAAGGCACACGGAATTTACGAGGTTCTAAAACCTCACAAAAATGGTATTAAAGGCAATGTCTTGAAATAGATTGAAAGTTATAAAAACAGAAGTCAAAAGGTTTTTGTAGAGTCTTCTTTATCACAACCACTGACTGCAAACGCAAACTTCAGCGCCTCAATGTTTGGGCCTCTTTTTCTCCTCGTTAACGTGAATGATATAAAAAATTAATTATTAACCTAAAAAAAAACAAATAATTCTAAATAGTTACTGGTCTCACAAACTTCTCTTGGTCTCACAAACTTCTCTATTGTTTCATTTATTTATGTTCTTATTTACTTTTTGGTTGGGTTTATTATCGCACCTACACATTATAGGTCATATATTGACATTCCAGCTTTACTGGTGGAAGAAGACCGCTGATGCCATTACATGCATTATTTCAGGCCCGAGTGGGCACCTGAAAAGAACCACCGAAATTCCGAAAGCTAGCTGGATAGCTTCCTTACATGAAAAGTGCGTGGCAGGATTTGAACCTTGCGGTGAGGGGCAAGTCGTTTGATGTCAAAAACCTTAACCACTCGGTCACGGACGCCCTCTTTGTCTACTGTAACCAGTTATGTAATGCAATGCTCAGTTTTACCTGTTTTTCTTTAGTTTAATGCAACATTGACACTTTGTTTATGTTGACGGCGACTTGCCGTGTATCTCTGTGCATTATTTGAGGCACGAGCGAGCACCTGAGTAGAACCAACGGCTATCTGTAAGCTAAACAGAATAGCTTCCTCGCATGAAAATCAGTTTGATTACTAAGACGACAGCGTTGACTACGTCTACTACAACTATGCCAAAATCGACGACTAAGAAAACAACTTTTACTACAACAACGACTACGAGCACGACAACTATGATTGCCAGAATTATTACCTCTTCGCTTATAATTACAACGATTACGACTAGGACTACGCCAACGATTACTTCGACTCCGACGACTACAATAACGAATTTGACTGTCAATACTACTACTTCGACCAGCACCATAATAAAACTCATACAGATCATTTTCTTGTCATCACTTTTCTTTTAACCTAATCAGAAGACAGTAGACAAATGTGATCTTTCATTATTAATCGAATAAAGAATTGTGTTAAAGTCAAAGTGAGTTTAACCTTTGATCTTCTGAACTTGAAATTATAAGGTGCTATTTTCTTGGGATGATATTTATCCTTATCTATCAATTTTAAGGACAAAAGGACAAATAGTAGTGATAAAAGTAATCTTGATTTTTAATTTTGTCACTTTCGTGAACAATATATTTATAAATAGTATATTTATAAATAACACATGGGTTTGTGGGTAACAGTATATAAATAACACATGGGTTTGTGAGTAACAGTAAAAATATCATCCCGAGGAAAATACTATTACCCGAGGCGTAGCCGAGGGTAACAGTATTTTTACGAGGGATGATATTTTTACTGTTACTCACAAACCCATGTGTTATTTATTTTATTACCCCGATCAAAAATACTGTGATGATCTGAAATTGTCAACTAAATCTAACTGTAACAAAAATAAACCAAGAGTAACAATAACTAACCTGTCCTTACCTTTTAAGTTTTAAGTGTACTTTAGGCCTACTTGAGAAGTTTTCTTTTTCTTTTATTTCTTAAGCAAGTGATGATATCTACAAATCATAAACATACAATAAGCTAGGTTTTATTTAGAAAACAAAACACTAACCCATTTACACGGTTATGATCTGTGAAATCTGATCCTTCTGTTTCCAGAATATTCTTAGCATGGTTTTTGACAAAATAACGATGATATCCTATGTCTGTCCAACATATCTGTAACGTTTCACTGATTAAAATTGTTAAATAATCCTTTGTTGCATGCGTAAATCGTCTGCATGTTCCAGTTTGACACATAATTATTTACATTGCAATTACTTCCGTTGAAAACGGATGTTCAATTTTTGACTATTCAACAAAAAGATATTTTATACGCGAAAAGCACACCAGGGTGCGAACAACTAAATTTTATGAGAGTCATAATTACTCCAGAGAAGAAATTGATGTCCTATCGGGGTTTAACGTCGAAAATAAGAATCAATCAAGAATGGCGGCCATTTTATTTCATTTTATTTAGAAAATAGACCACGTGACCAGATTTTATACTGTTAAAAATACTGTTACCTATGTAACAGTACAAAATTCTTAGTCACGTGGTACACTTGCGTTAACAGTAAAAATAACTCCCAGAGGCCTATGGGAAATTAGCATTACGAAAAAAGTGAGGGGTAATAATAAAAAATATCATCCCAAGGAAAATACTGTTACCTGAGGCGTTAGCCGAGGTAACAGTATTTTTACAAGGGATGATATTTTACTGTTACTCACAAACCCATGTGTTATTTATTTTATTACCCCGAACAAATATTGTGATGATCTGAAATTGTCAACTAAATCTAACTAACTGTAACAAAATTGAACTGGTGGCCATTTTCTGTAGCAAATAGACCACATGACCAGATTTTATACTGATAAAAGGCACTGTTACCCTATAACAGTACAAATTTCTTTGTCACATAGTACATTTGCATAAACAGTATGAATAACTCCCAGTGGCCTATGGGAAATTAACATTACACAAAAAGTGTGGGGTAATAAAAAATTAACATTACACAAAAGTGTGGGGTAATAATATACACTACGGAACACATTTTTGGAAAGTGAGTGAATAAAGCTTATGTAAGCAGTAAACGTTCTTTCAAGCAATTTAAACATCACACTCTTAAGCTATATGCGTGGTGAACTACATACGTGGTGAACTATATACGTGGTTAACTACATACGTGGTAAACGTAACTATATACATGGTGAACTACATACGTCGTTAACTATATACGGGGCAACACAGCTTAAAGAAGTTACACAGAAGTATATTTTTTTCTTTACAGAATACAATGGCCACAGAAACAATTGAAGAACTTATAAAGCAGACACTAAATACAATACCTTGGCAGACAACCTTACAACTAACACTTCCGGCCAAGCACGTGCCATTCGTTCTTCACGGGCCTTCCATTTTGACAGGATACAGAGTGCCATACAAAGAATGGAAATATTTCTTTCTCAGTCTTTTTCAACTCCATAATGAAACTGTCAACGTATGGTCACATCTTATCGGATGTATTATCATATCAGTAAAATTATATGGATATATGGATGAGTTCGACGTTGACAAAGATTACGTTATGAGTACATTACTTATGTTTGGAATTTCTTGTTTAATTTGTTTATTCACAAGTGCTAACGTCCACTTGTTACATTCTAAGTCACCTTATGTTCATTTTGTTGCTTTCATGGTTGATTATATGGGAGCAACAATAAGTAGCTTCGGTTCGGGAATTGCTGGTATATATGGGCTATCGGAAGCCAGAAGCTATAGATGGTTAATGCCTCTTTATTTACCAGTTATTTTTATTTCATCTTATCTTAATTTTGTCAATTTGTGTCTTGCGAAGATTTGGTATGGGCATGATCCGCATAATATACAAAGGAAATATATGTTTATAATAGGAATGAGTATACAAGCTTTAATAAACATGGCACCATTTGTGACACGTTACGAAATCTGCTTTTCAAACGAAAACTGTTCAATGACCTCTCTTAATCATCTTACATTAATACAAATAGTGTTTATATTAGAAGCAGTTACTTTTGCTGCTTATCAACCAGAGAAAACATGGCCCGGGAAATTTGACATCGTCGGCCACGGACATCAGATTTTCCACGTGCTGATTATTTGTAACCACGTGTTTCAATTAGACGCTATATACGCTGATCACGACAAAAAAAAACTTGTCTCACAGTAAACCAAACTGTCTACATATATCTGCTATGATGTCCTCTTTGTATGTTCTTGAAGGGCTAACTCTATACTTTATATCAAAATACGTGCCACAGTGTCTTAAAAGAATAAAGGAGTCATAAATGAGGGAGTAACAATTTCAAGAGTCTGTATATTTATTGCAATGTTTTATGTCTATAAAATTGTTGTTTTATAGAGGGATGTAACAAAAAGGATTGGAAAGCATTTAATTAAACTATAATTACTTATTGTTTGTTTGGATCGTCAGACCAAACAAATAATGGTAGCGAAATTTCAAACCCTGTTGCTGTTAATTGCAAATGCCGAAAGTAGTCCGCTTTTTGAAGCGGTTACTTCCCTTTATACGTACACTAACGCCAAAAAATTCAGGAGATATCACTGCGTAAAGATTGTCAAATGACAGACGCATTAATTTTCAAGCAAAATAGTTCCCGAATGGTCGAAGATAATATTGTTTTATTCTTTATAGATATACATGCTTATATGATTATTTACATCTGTGTTAAACAACAGGTTTAGCGTCGAAATAATAAGAGTTACAACCCCTAATTTAGAATAATATGTTTTTCTTCAGGCCGTTAACATATAACATCACCGTGGCCGAGGGATTTGCACGCTCGCTTAGGAATCGGGAGGTCTGGAGTTCAAATCATAGATAGGGCAACTCATTTTTTTTTAAATTGTCAAAAAGTCAAATAAACATTGAATTGAATAGCAGTGTTGCAATTAGTCTTATAGCCAATTTACTACAGTTAAAACACTGGAAAGCATTGGTGGCACTATACAAAAACAAATTGGTTTATAATCTCATAACCTTCACCTTTCTGACATTCTGAGACCCAAACAAATTCAGCGCCTTCTGTGCTTTGATTTATATTGTATTGTGAATATAAACTGAATACAAAAGTGTACAAAATTACAAATTACTGATATCTTGAATTAGATGTGTAAAGTTGTCGGCCTAGCAAACCAGCGGCGTGAAGTTGGAGGCCAAGCAGCCCAGCGACCTGGCGGCGTGAAGGTGGCGGCCCAGTGGCCTAAAATTTCAATGTTGTAGAAATGATAAAAAACGGCAATTAATGATGTTCTAAAGACAATTCTTGTTTTTTGAAGTTAATGGATATATAAACAGAAAAAAATATTTTCAGAAAACTTTATTTTATCATTTTTGTGAAGTTGGCAACCTAGCAGCCTGGCGGCCTAGAATTTTGATGTCGTAGAAGTTTGTCAAATAATTTAAAACGACTTTTTATGAAGTTTTAAAGGCATATTGTCATTAAAAAGATATATTAAAAGGAAAAAAAATACTTTGAGTGATTGTTTGGAAATTATCTTTTTTGTGAAGTTTGTTTGTTTGGATTTTACGTCACACCGACACAGTATAGGTCATTTGGCGACGTTCCAGCTTTACAGGTGGAGGAAGACCTCAGGTGCATTAATTCAGGCACGAACGGGCACCTGAGTAGAACCACCGACGTTCCGAAAGCTAGCTGGATAGCTGCCTCATGAAAGAATCCAATGTCCCTGTCGGGATTCGAACCCACAGTGGTGAAGTCAACGACCTTAACCACTCGGCCACGGACGCCCCTTTTGTGAAGTTGGCGGCCTAAAATTGAGGTTTGTCAAAGAAATTAAAACGACTCTTAATATAGTTTTAAAGATATATTTAGTCATTTTAAAGTAACATAACAACAAGATTGCATTTATGAAAAATGCTATGCCACCGCATTAATACAACACTAAATAGCAATGCAGGAACAGAATATTTTTGTTTCTATACAATTGAAGATTGCCAAAATGTATAGATCACTGACCTGTCTAAGTCTTATTATCAGATTAGTGGTTAAATCTATTGTTATTCAAATAAAAGATCTAAGTAGAATTCTGTCAATGCAGTTGAGTCTATTGAATTTGGTAGTGAAGGTCATATTTCACATGGCCAAATTCCCATGACTGTACATCAAAGGACAATTTATCAAAATCTAGGCCAGCTGATATCAAAGTTCACTTTACATCTTAATCTGTGCACATGGTTCAAATTTCATGGCTGCACATCAAAGGACAAGAAAGTAAGTCACCTCATCAAAATCTAGGTCACTTGATATCAAAGTTCAATTTTACAACTAAAACTGTGCACATAGTCCACATTTCATGACTGTACATCAAAGGACAAGAAAGTAGGTCATTGTTCCCTTAGGCAAGGTAAAATTTTGACCCATGGGTTTAATTCAAACAATCTTGATACAGGTCCACGAAACAATGTTTCATGTCAAATATGTAACCTGTAGCTTTCTCTTATTCAGAAAACATTTGTTTTAGTTTCTGTTTTTACTATGTGTATATAATGAAAATCAATGCCCCCGGGCCGGGCCAATTTTGACACCAGAAGCAAAATTTGAACAACTTTGGTAGAGGACCTATGAATGATCAAAGCTCTAAGCCTTGTACCTTCAGACAAGAAGATCTTTTAATTAGTTTTAATTAGGGCTATAATTTGAACAATCTTGGTAGAGGTTCACTACACAAAGTCTCATACCAAATATCTAACTCCTAGCCTATGTCAATTCAGAGAAGAAGATTTTTCAAGTTTCTACTATATACATATAAGGAAAACTATCACCTCTGGGGCAGGGCAATTTTAACACTAGGGGCATAATTTAAACAACTTTGGTAGAGGACCCATAGATGATATTATATACAAAATATCAAAGCTCTAAGCCTTGTACCTTCAGACAAGAAGATTTTTAATTTTTTGCTATATGTACATAGTGAATGAAAATCAATGACCCCGGGGCGGGGCAATTTTGAGAGCTATTATTTGAACAATCTTGCTAGAGGTTCACTACACAATGTTTCATGCAAAATATCTAACCTTTAGGCTTTGTCAATTTAGAGAAGATGATTTTTTAAGTTTTTATTATATACATATTAGGAAAACCTATGACCCCCGGGGCGGGGCTAATTTTGACACTAGAGGCAAATTTGAACAACTTTGGTAGAGTACCTATAGATGATATCATATACTAAATATCAAAGCTCTAAGCCTTGTACCTTTAGACAAGACGGTATTCTAAGTTTTTACTATATGTACATATAGTGAAAATCAAATCAATGAACCCCGGGGCGTGGCCAATTTTGACCCCAGGGCTATAATTTAAAAATCTTGGTAGAGGTCTAACAGACAATGCCTTATGCAAAATATCTATGGTCTAGGCCTTGTGGGTCTTTACAAGAAGATTTTTTTTAATTTACTGTTTTAATTCCTTTTGGTTGCCATTGCAACCAGATTTCTGCATGGAATGAAATTCTTTTAACAACTTTGGAAGCCCTTTACCCAAGGATCAATCCTGCCAAGTTTGTTGAAATTGGACTAGTGGTTTTTCACAAGAAGATTTTATAAGTTCACTATATGATCTATTTATAACACACACACACACACACACACACGCGCACGCGCACGCGCACGCACACGCACACACACACACACACACACACACATACACAACAAACATAATCAGAAACCTTAAATTTTACAGTTGTAGAGATTTTATAAAAAAGACTAATAACGGCACTTTACGAAGTTCTTTAGACAATTATTGATATTTAAAACGGAAAAAAGTCACTTTGAGAGAACATTTGATTGATCATTTTTGTGAAGTTGGCGGCCTAGCGCCTGAAACTTTTAATGCTGTAGAAATTTGTCAAAGAAATTAAAACGACTCTTCATAAAGTTTTAAAGTCATATCATGACGAATGACAGTTCTCTCTTTCTGCCTTTTCCTTGCCAAATTGACAAATATTTTATCAGCATTTGGCGAAGTTTACACGATAATGGCACTATTATCATAACTTAACTAATACACAAGATATGTTAAAGATATATTCATGAACCGAAGCGTATCTGAAGTGTATATTCGCTGTACTTTAAAAAAAATTTGGTGAACAAAAGCAATCTCCAGTAACGCCTGAATGTGACACTAACGCACGATTCGTACAATAAGTAACGCAGAATTGTATAATAAATGGCGTATACCTGACAGGATTTCCAACGTGGGTCAGGATTTCCAACGTGGTAATAAAACTGGCCAATATATTTTTTATTTTACCGAACTGAAAAAAAAACAAGAGTCGCATACGGCTGCGAAGACATAACTCTTTATCCCTCATCAAGATTATTTCCACGAAATGGTTTACTTTACAACATCATTTGTGAAAATGATGACTTGACTACCGTTTTAAGCGAGACTTTTAGTAGATCCTACAATTAGTTATAAAGTATGGTGCAAAAGAAATTACCAGGTTAACGGAATAAAAATGCGGTGTTGTTGTTCTGTGCTCCAATATTCGTGTCAGTTGGACTTTTTTCACCTTGAATTTATGCTTAATAATTATAATAATGTATACGGGTCCGTCAGGTCATAACAAAAGCGCATCGCCGTTATAGCACAGTTTTTTCTGATAAGTAAGACTCATGTTGAGGTCGACACGACCTTTTGTAAACACGTTTTTTTTCTCAATATATGTGATGTTTTGCGAATTGTGTTGTGTTACATTAACGATGAATGGTTTCAAATATTCGATTTTATAATTGAAAAGTTGGAATTTTATTGCAATGTCTGGCAGTAAGATATTTTATAAGCTATTTCCCGCCATTACTATTTTGTACAGAAAGATAGGACCTTTCCGATTTTTCGTAGCGGAACATTTAGCCACACCTTTTCCATTCATTGCTAGGTCAACTGCTCACAAACAACCACGTGTTTTTTTTGTGCAAACCAGGTCAACCAGTGACTATGTATTTAGCCAATTTATATAAAACTGTAAACACTGGAAAGCTCCACATCAGTCAGAGGTATGATATTTTGACGTTGCGCGGAAAAGTTATGGTAAACGGCTTACCACCGTTTCTTCCAAATTACAAGATATGCCTTTAAATCTTTATGAAGAGTCGTTTTAATTTATTTGACAAAGTTCCACGACGATTAGATTTTAAGAAACACAGTTCCAAATATTTCAAAACCTGTTTCACAGACAGATAAAAAGTTGCACTGCATTTTTCAAGGATAAATGACATACATTGAAGAAAATAATAGTCTGCATGCATTACTCCATAATGACTGACAACAATTTATGTTTACCCCCACCCAGCAAAAATTACACCTAAAATATACCAATATGGGCAATCTTTATGAAGGTGCAGCATACTCCAGAATCTGTCCTATTTCTTTAAATATATCACTAACACACAGTGCAATCAATGGCATTTTCAACAAGAGTTCCGCTAGGTGGATCATTATATGCCCGAAAGTGTTTTTTTTTAGTAAGGATGAAGCATTTGTAAGACATGGGAATTAGCTGTTCATCCTATAAAATTTTACAGCTGTAGGTTGATTAATACTTAAGTTATAAATAATGACCTTAACCTTTGACCTTGTGACCCCAAAATCAATAGGGGTCTTCTACCTTATATGGACAATCATCCTAAGAAGTTTGAATATTGTGGGCCAAATGGAACTTAATTTATGCTAAAAAACCACAATTTTCAGTGTAGAGATCATTGTGACCCTGACCTTTGACCTAATGACCCCAAAATCAATAGGGGTCTTCTACCCAATATGGACAATCATCCTATGAAGTTTAACTATTGTGGGCCAAATGGAGCTTTAGTTATGCTCCGGAAACTGTTTTCAGTTTTAAGGTAGTAGTGACCTTGACCTTTGACTTTGTGACCCCAAAATCAATAAGGGTCTTCTACCCAATATGGACAATCATCCTATGAAGTTTGAACACTGTGGGCCAAATGGAACTTAATTTATGCTCGAGAAACCACAATTTTCAGTGTAGAGATCATTGTGACCCTGACCTTTTACCTAATGACCCCAAAATCAATAGGGGTCTTCTACCCAATATGGACAATTATCCTAAGAAGTTAAAATATTGTGGACCAAATGGAACTTAAGTTATGCTCCGGAAACTGTTTTCAGGTTTTAAATAGTGACCTTCACCTTTGCCCTTGTGACCCCATAATCAAAAGGGGTCTTCTACCCAATATGGACAATCATCCTATGAAGTTTGAATCTTGTGGGCCAAATGGAACTTAATTTATGCTCCGGAAACTGTTTTCAGTTTTAAGGTAATAATGACTTTGACCTTGTGACCCCAAAATCAATAGGAATCTTCCACACAATATGGACA